TCCAGCTCTGGAGCCCTCAGCATAAGACAGGCACGACCTGCTGAAGCCAGTCCAGAAGAAGGCCATGAAAATGATCAGGGGGATGGAACACCTATCCTATGAAGAAAGACTGAGAGAGTTGGGGTTGTTTAGCCTAGAGAAGAGAAGGCTCTGGGGAGACCTTATTGCAGCCTATCAGTACTTAAAGGGAGCTTATAAGAAAGATGGGGACAAACTTTTTAGCAGGGCCTGTTGTGACAGGACAAGGGGGAATGGCTTTAAACTAAGGGGGGTAGAATTAGACTAGATATCAGGAAGAAATTTTTTACACTGAGGGTGGTGAGGCACTGGCACAGGTTGCCCAGAGAGGTGGTGGATGCCCCATCCCTGGAAACATTCAAGGTCAGGTTGGACGGGGCTCTGAGCAACCTGCTCTAGTTGAAGATGTCCCTGCCCACGGCAGGAGGGTTGGACTAGATGACCTTTAGAGGTCCCTTCCAACCCAAACTATTCTATGATTCTACGATATCTCAGTAGACTAACTATATTAGGTCCTTATTGCTTTATAGGAGGTATTTTCCACAGATCATGCCTTCAATTTTAGTGACCATTCTGAACTCTAATACTTCTGCCCAGGGCCTGCAGCCTTAACCAGTTTGGGGTGACTGGTTAATTTAGTATGTATGCTCTCTATTCCATCATTGCAGATGTTAATGAAAACATTGAATACTGATGAATATTGAAAATACTGCATAGGACGACTCCGGAAAGAGGTCCATAGCCATTCATAACTACTCCTTCAGGGGCTTCTCATTTATTTTTGCACATATTTTTAGAAGTTTTTATTCTGTCCTGAACAGTCTCATTTTGACAAATGAGATAGATAGAAACCACTGATGCCACCAATAACTTAAAGGAAACACATCCATTTCCAGCAGAATCTTGCAATTTGGTTGAAGAAGTTTTATTATTGGTTTTATTAGTATTCCTGTTCATGGACAATGTTTTGGATCAGTAAGCCTTGTAAAAGACACTCTTCAGAAAGAGGTCGATAGTTGAACGTGATGTGTAGGGTCACCAGTGTAAGAAAAACTCCACCTATGGATTTAGTAGGCTGACAGGCAGCGAGAAGGGTAAAAGAAGCTGTAGGGAGTTTTTGCAGGTGATCACTACTGAATGAAGCCTTCAGGTAGTGGTTATGTTATAATTCTGGCAGTTGCCAAAGTAATACGGAAATTACCAGAATGTTAATATCTACTATTGTAAGTATTCTTTTGTCACATTCAGAAAGAAAATATGTCAAATAGTTCCATTCTAGTCTTTCTTCTCCATATAAAATAATTTGGAAATTTTAAGCTAAAACTCCATCTTTTTATTAAAATAAATGAACTGATAAACAATGAGATTAGGACTAGAGACTATCAGAATTACTTAAAAACAGATTCCTACTTGCATTTATAGCATGGATTTCCACGAAGTTAAGAAAAGTGTTCTACCTTTGCAGAGGAAAGGCTGATGACATGTTGATCTTTTTCATTTGTTACAATTTCCATAACACTATGTCGGTGTCCTGATAGCTTCCCTGTAGGCCTACTATTAATAGCGGGATGCCACAAACGAAGCAGTTTGTCATGACCTGAAAGAAAAAAAAAAAAACATATGTATAGTCAGAAAGACTGAATAGTGACTGGTATTACAAATAAACTTTGTAATGGAGAGCTTAGTGTTGGTAAGTCTCTGCTTTCACCATGTAGGCAACTCGCACATAAGGATGTGAATTTTTCATTCTAAGGTCTGGATTCCAGCTTATCCCCAAACTTGTATTAAAACCACATAACTGGTTTGCCTTTCAAAGCCTTTTTATTTTGCTAGAGGAATGTCAGGGACACTGGATGTGACTACATGTGCTAGTCCCATAGGAGCAGTATAGAAATAGATTAGAAATAGAACTGGGGCTCAAATTTTTCTCCTTCAAAGGTCTAATTTACAAAAATATCAGAATAATATTTGTGTCCACTTAGCCAGGAAATGAAGGGATGACCACCTCTATGGAAGAGAGTGGGCGTGCAGAACAGGAAGGGGAGCAGACATGAAAGTTGAGGGCAGATAGGAAACAATAACTGCTGATGAGTGATTTTGTGTCTTGAAGTAAATGAGGATTAGGTCTTTCATATTTATTTGTATGTTCAAACATTAAATTTACCTACAATTTAGGGAATAATCCTTGACTGCATTATAGGTGAATCTTTTGGTAATATTTTCATAATAATTTCCATAAATATTTCAAAACACAAAGATGTTAAAAATGTATTAGTAAACTCCTGTGTTTACATAATGATGTAAACACAACTGTACGTACTGCTCTGAAATATTTTGTATTTTTCACATGAGTTTCAAGAGAACATGAACAAATTTAAATTTGACATTAATTAATTTATATTTTAACTTTCAATTCCTGGCAAATATTGCAATTGTATGAATTGTATGCAATTAGCTAAACACTCTATTTTGACACACAATAAATGAAACAGCCACATTTTATGTAGACTTCAGTTTGAGTTTTAGTTTTCTCTCGGCTTAAAGTGCAGAAAGCCAAAAAAACATAGACTAGGAAGTACATACCCCAAAAGAACATTTACAAAGCCTCAAGAGTGTGAAGCTCAGCTCAGTTTTGTTAACAAAGAGAAGAGTTAAAGGTCAGCTCTTGCACTCTGCTCTCCAGGGATCTTCCTTAAGCTTGTTCAACCTACCGTCATTGGTCAGTCCCTCCCTCTCTCTCTAGAGAGATCTATTCCTTTCCTTCCTAATAGAGATCTATTCCTTTCCTTCTTAATACAGCAATATGTGATTCATTTAGGAGCACCCCACATTCCTTTTCCTCTATTAAACATTATTGTCCTCTCAGTTAAATTGATTGCACTGTTTATATAGCCTCACTAAATGAGAGAGGCTCATTGGAGAAATGATCTACTCTTAAAATAGCTACAAAAGAAAGTAATTTTATTTTATGCCAGATCATTTCACAAGTGTGACTGAGAATGCAACCATGCAAACAGCTGTACTGGCACAATGGAGGGATAACTTCTGCACAGAAAGGGGAACCGTGGATAGGTAGCTGACCAGCAGTAACTTCAATGGGAACCAGTTTCTTTTCAGGGGCACTTTCAGGCAAAACTATTCTAGATTAGCTGTCTATGCTGTAAGCCTGGCAGGAAGTAGCTTAAAAGGGCTATAATTGCACAAGAGGTTTGTGAAACTCTTTTGGATGGGGAAACTGCAGAACATGCTGGGCCCCTGCTCACTTCCCCGGGTGTTGTGCTAGGCTGTCGTAGACACGTCCTGTAAGTTAGCAGAACCCTTGCGACCAGGCCAGTGTACATGACTGAGAAACAAGACCATGGGAGTAAAACTCAGCTTGCAGACCTTTCATGAAGTCAACAGGAGGACACCAGACATGGTAGACAGGAGCCTCTAGTGAGACAGGTGAGATCAGTTATAATCAGAGGGAACACGCACTGCTTCAACAACATGCCCTTTAGCAGCCCCAAATGGAAACTGTCATGTCTTAAAATGACAGTGAACTAGGTAGAAGCTGTTGATGTTATCTGACCAACTCAACTACCTACTTGCTGTGCTTTTGAGGAACAGGATCTTTCTTAGCCTTCCTAACTGCTCTGTTCTTTATATTCCTGAGGTGAGGATAGTGCCCTTTAATTGCGGCACAGAGTTTCTTTTAAGAATAGAATCACTAATACATGTTCTTTACTTAAGATATTAACAGGAAGAACAACTGTCATTAAGAAGGAACCTGAAAAAAAACATGCTGTTTGCTTCTTATGTGAAATAGTGGATTGATTTTTGTTCCTTTTACTGACGGTGAGAGAATGGTGGATTTGGTTATAGTAGACGTGTTCTCTCCCCTCTTTCTGGACTAATACCAGATTGGCCCTAACATTCGCTACTTCACTGCTTCACTGGAACATTTGCTGGAACATTTGTTCTCTCTGTGCTCCAAATATGCCTCCAGGATTCTGAATTGTGACACAGAAGGCACGGGTACTAAGCACATTTAAGAAAAGCTTGAAGAGGAATTGTTTGTCTACATATCAGACAGCAAATTTTTAAGATTCTGTGAAATTAATGATTTGAATCATAATGGGCTCAGTTCGGTGTTTTCCATTCCAAGATAAATAGTTATGAAACCATGTGTTTAGGATTTTTTAAAAAGTCAGATTTTATGACCACAGGTCTATTTTAGCTAGATGTTATGGATTCCAATGCATTCTTTGAACATGTGATCCTTTGTCAAATTGCCTTCCTTGCTTACACAGTTTTGCAATTTGTGTGGTATTACAAGTCTGCTGAGATGTCTGCATTTCAGTGGTGTTGAAACCCCCTTAAGAACAATAGCATTTTTGAATGGAAAAAATGCTAGGCTTAGCTTGAAATCCTCTGATAAACTAGAAAAGAAAAATATAACTCCTGGTTTCTTTCTACGCTGCTCCTTGCACACAGAAGGACCCCTTATTCTTTAAAACAACTCATCATTCCTTCAAGCCTGCCTTTTAAATAATCTTGGGTTATATTGTCTGCAAAACCTCTTCAGAACAGTTAGTTAGACATCTGGTTAACTAACACAAGTTGATATGTTTATCATATTGACCAATGTCTCTTTCTTTTTTTGTGCTGTCATGTCTGTCTTCATATGTTCTTCTTGAATTTAGACTGCATCATAGAAAAGAGTCTGCTTATGCTTGTGAGGGCTAGTGTTAGTGGAGTCCTGGGATATGATTTCTATAACTAGGATGCATGGGAATACCTGAAAATGTCAATACCAATGTATAGTGCCAGTAAAAGAAGAAAAAAAAAAAAAAGATAAGATGTTACAAGTTACTTCACTTGTGCCAGGAATACACAAAGGATACTGAGCAAGCACAGAGGACTTCCTTTTATCAGTCTTAAACCGCTACTGCTAGATTTAGAAATCAATAATAGTTTTTCTTCTACTTTGTTGCTCACAGGAGAACAATAACTGGATTTGAAGAAATAATAGAGTTAGAAGTTGATGTATCATATAATTTAAAACTGATCATCTCAAGCTTTTATATGCATACATAATTTGATTTTAACTGTAGCTGTTCCCTGAGGTGATGATTAAGACATAGTTGGAATTGAAATGGATACCGAATAAGAGGAAAATCATATCACTTTACCGTTTGACATAATATTAATTAATGCAAAATGCTACACAGAAAAGTTATTCTAAATTACTATGGGCTCCATATTTTAGACCACTGTCAGGCTTTTATCATTTTATTGGTTGAAAAAGCCTAGCTTTTAGTGTGAAAAGTGAACTCTGTACGAAGTTTGCTTGTATCTTTCCTATTCATTATTATAAATGTCAAATATCTGGAAGACAAAATAAGATTGTGCCACAGTACTGGCAGACTCATGAGCATATTCAAATACAAATAATAAATTATGGAAGAGTAAGGGTGTTAAAACATGACTTTTTTAATAGTCACTTCCTAGTGTAATAATACATTGTGATATTTTGCATACCATTTGTGCTATAAACGCCTGGCTAAATAACAATAGGTTGGGGCTTAGTAAAGTGGCTACCAGATTTATCCCCACTGAATACTTTAGAAGCTAGCCTGCAATCAAAGATTGGAATTTTTTTTTCTTTAATTGCTGAATGTGACATATAAACATATTTTTTACAAATGTTTGCACATGTCATGAAGGAATCTATATATTATGATTCCTGAATTATTTAACTGCTCTGGTCTTTGATTTTTAGGGTATATTACAGGTAAAATGGCAGGCTTGTGAATCAACAAGACTAGCCTATAGTCGTGGTTTAACCCCAGTTGGCAACTGAGCACCACGCAGCCGCTCGCTCACTCCCCCATGGTGGGATGGGGGAGAGAATTGGAAGGGTAAAAGTGAGAAAACTCGTGGGTTGAGATAAAAACAGTTTAATAGGTAGAGCAAAAGTCGCGCATGCAAGCAAAGCAAAACAAAGGAATTAATTCACTACTTCCCATGGGCAGGCAGGTGTTCAGCCATCTCCAGGAAAGCAGGGCTCCATCACACGTAATGGTTACTTGGGAAGACAAATGCCATCACTCCAAACGTCCCCCCCTTCCTTCTTCTTCCCCCAGCTTTATATACTGAGCATGACGTCACATGGTATGGAATATCCCTTTGGCCAGTTTGGGTCAGCTGTCCTGGCTGTGCCCCCTCCCAGCTTCTTGTGACCCTCCAGCCTTCTCAGTCGGTAGAGCATGGGAAGTTGGAAAGTCCTTGACTATTATAAACACTACCTAGCAACAACTAAAAACATTGGTGTGTTATCAACATTGTTCTCACCCTAAATCCAAAACCACAGCACTGTACCAGCTACTAGGAAGGAAATTAACTCTATCCCTGCCGAAATCCAGGACACCTATGTTCATATGAAACAGTTTAATTCTCTCATTAACTGGATCATCAACATGTGTTTCTCAGCCAGACGAGAGGGGGATGGCTTTTAAGATACAGAGGCAAACATAGTGTGCTCTAGTCTGACTGACTGCTGTGCCATTGTGAGCAGTGTATTTTATTCATAGAGCACTGAACTCTAAAGCTCAA